ACAATACTAACAACCCGAAGAGAACGAGTTAGACTTTGAATTATTCTTCAACAAACTCTGGTGGTCTTCGTGGCGTTTGAAGTGGATCTTCATCGCGTCTCCAACATCCGACGACAAGCTAGATGATTGGTGATGACTTTCTTTCCTCTCTCTTCATGTCTGATTATCTTTGTTGCCAACAATGATGGTGGAGGTAGCGATTCTCACCGCTGCAACGCCGATCTCATTGACTCCATGGGGAAAGGCCAATTTTATCATGGGATGTCGCTTCTTCGACAACAGGGGCGTGAAAGGGTGGTCTACAGCCATAAGACCGAGCACGATGCATTGACTTTGACTGGAGTAGGTGTGGGTGGATCAGGGTTAGGTAATTGATTTTCTTTGTTTATCTTTTATTTGCTGTAATTGTAGCGGGTTGGCTTTTTCAAGTATGTTTGGTTGTTGAGAAATTGTTGGAAATATACGAAAATTTTGGATGATTGATTGTTTTTGTTTTGTAAACTTAGAATTTAAGGATGATTGATGATTTTTTTCCTATTACTTTTAGTGCATGGTAGTTTTTCTCTTGTGATTAACTTGAGTATATCATTGATGAATTTGAATTTATTAATAATAAAGTTTACCTATTTTTTTTGTTATAGTTTATTACTAATAAATATTAGTTTATCACTAATAAATTTCAATTGATTATAAGGCATAGAGTTGTCAAATGTGCCGTGTCGGGCCGACACGACATGTCTCACCCCAGGCCTGCCACGACCCTGAGCCAAACTAGACACGGCCCTAAACAGTTGAGGGCCGTGCCTGGGCCAGACCTGAGGGAAGAACCTCAGGTCTGGCCCTAGCCCAGGCTCTTGTCCATAAGGGCCAGGGCCGGGCCCAGGCCCTTCACGGGTTGGCCCTGGCCCTTTTAATATTTATTGTAATATTTAATGAAAAAAAGGAAATATATCATATGCCCCAAAAGATGTGATTTTATTGAATTGAAATAATACGAATAAACACACATAAATAACTGCCTCATTAAAAACCTTGCTAAGTAAAACATGTGGGGAGATCGGGACAAAACCTTAGGAAAGGAAAAAAGTGCAGTATACAAGGATAAGTAAATTACACTGTGGCTAAATTGCTTCTAGAAGATTCTTTTATGTCTAAGTTTGAAAAATATTCTTGAAGTGTATCATCTGTATAGTGTCATTTTCGTCTTCTGGCATCTTTCCAGTCTTTCACGCACATTAGTCCCTCTAAGATATCCGGGTACAATCTGTTCCTCTTATCGTTAATAACTTGATCGTTTGCACTAAATACTTGCTGTGATGCTACTGTTGACACTGAAGTTGTCAGAATGTCACGTGTTATCATGGACAATATTAGAAAATGATTTGTCATGCTCTTCCACCACTGTAAGATGTTCAGTTTGTCGCCATCAATTACAAAATTTGATTCAAAATATTTGACTAGTTCTTAAGACACTTGTGTTAATGACGATCTCGATGCTTTCTCCTTCCTCTTCAAGAAGGTAACATTTTCTAGCATCGTCAATGGTTAGTTGCATATCAATATCTAAATTTTCTGCTGTAGCAGATATCAAAGATTTGGTCCCATTTAATCCGCATCTAGGATTTAAAATGGTTGCTAATGCATATAACATAGGACAACCGGCCAATAAATTTTAAATTTAGCTTCCATTTCATTAACTATGGGTCAAAAAGATTAGTATCCCTATAATAAGCAAATATTTCTGAAATATTAAATAATTGATGCAAAGCAGGATAATAAACACCAAAAAGTAATTCGGTAGCGTTGTAGAATACTTCTAAAAATTTTAAAAAGTACTCATTAATCTTCCAATATCCATCTTATATAAAATGCTCAACATGCTTACTATTCACGTACGTAGTGAAGAGCTCTTGATAGTGAATTGCAGTCTTAGGTGGAGTTCACCTATGTCTCACATCAGTTGGAAACTTTCTTGGTCGTATTTGGCTGTTCCTGTAATATTGTCAGAATTCTTGGAGTAGAGCTCGAGGACTAGATATGAAAGATAACAATTCTCTAATTTTTGTCTGATGATGGGAAACAGATTCAATATCTGCTTGCACTACTAAATTTATTATATGACATGCACACCATTGATGAAAAATTCGTCACCAAAAGGTGGTTTCAAATTAGCTTTAAACATGTTAGTAGCAGCTGTGTTAGCTAATGCATTATCAAAAGTAATTATTCGAATTCTAAACTCGAATCAACGAAACGAACGAGGCCTAAAACTTTATCTTCGATCCCATAAAATTTAAAAACTTCCATTATAGTTGGAAAAAATAGCATTTGCGTTACGTGAAAATGGACATAAACGAAAACTAATTATTTACTTTTGTAAAACCCAATCCCATCAACATAATGCGTTGTGACGCATAAATAACAAGTTTTATTGCACCATTCCCAAAGATCAAAAGTATAAGAGACTTGAAAGACCTAAAATTATCAACTAGAGATTGTCTCATTACATAAAAAAACTTTAACGCAATTAGCTCGAGTTATATTTCTACTTACCCGTTTAAATTGTATATAGAAGGTCGTCTGAATGAATTCTTCAAATGCTGAATCATCTGCAAAAGACAAAGTTAATTCAGTACTAGCTAAAATTTTAGCTAGTGCCTCACGAGCACGTTGTGCATCATATGTAAAATTTTGTAAATCTTGTGATGTGAGTGACAGTGTTTGTGGTAGGAGTCCACACTACCACCTTGGTGTAATGGTAGACATGTTTTTCAGCGTCTATCAAGATGGCCAGTACCCCCACATTTTTTGTTAGAAAAGTGTTTTTTTACAATATTTACATACCGCACGCATTTCAACGTCACCTAATTTTGGATTAGGTCATAACTCCTAGGTGAAATGTTGCCATGCAGGAGCAGTTCGCTGTCTTTTTCCCCTAGCATGTTCTCCAACTTATTCGTTGTGCACTAATTGATTATCAACCGAAACATTATTCGGTTCAATGGGGTTGGAATTGTGCATCAACATTTCATTATCGTAAAATGGTTGATCTCCAAGATCACGAAAATCAGGAAAATTTCCTTCTGCCATTTTTTGTAAAAGAAACATAAATTCATATTAACAAAAGGGTTTATAAACAATAAACAATGTAAGTAAACATTAAATGGAAGCAAAATATTATACCAAAAATAATGAGAACCAAGATTCAATACCTTTGTTTTTCAGGATGTAGCGGAATTTGATTAAAAATTGTAAATGAAACATATAAGAGAAACTTAGGAATCGAGAGAGAAAACTAAGAATCAAAGAGAGGATATGAGAGATAGAGTTATGAGAGTGAGAGGAGTTGAGAGTTAAAAGAGAGGTAGAAGTGTGAAGAATGTTGTGAGTGAGGTGGGATATTTATAGGGTTTTTTGAGAGATTTTTCGATTTATAGCTGTTGGTATGTCACGGGCCGAGCTGGACTAGCCATTTCTGACTGTTAGGCTCGTGACATGCCAGGCCGCGTACGGAGCTCGATGTGACTATTGGGCACGCGGCGGGGATTACAAACTAATAAAAGAGATTGTGAGAATGTCATATCCAAGCAAATCCTTGCCAACGACGAATGAAGGATTGACAAAGGAGAGAGACAGAGAGAGATGTGTACTAAAACAAGAGAAAGAGAGTAGCAATGAAAGAAAGAAAGAGAGAGGAAAGAGAAACTGAGATTAAAAAAAGAGAGAGAGATACGGAAAATAAAAAAGAAAAAAGAACAAAAGGGTAAAATTGTCGAATTATATATATAAATTTTCAAAAGTTAAAAATGCTAGTTACTTAACATATCAAATAAATTTTTTATAAAGAAACATATCAATCAATTACGCAATATAATTATATTAAGGTGTGAAGATGTACTATTTATTACATTTTTCCTATTTTTCTCCTCTGATTCGAGAAGAACAATTAAAATTGTATTACTGACTTATCTTTTTGTTGAATGTTTCTCTTCTTTCAACAACAATATTTCTATTTTCATTAGAAAAAAATATATCTCTATTTTCTTTCGACAATGTTGACGAGACATCGTCAATTTTCTTCAGCTCTTTTTCAAAGTAAATGACAACTCTCTTCTTAGTTATTCGTCTATTTCACATGTTGTGGATTCTCATTATCTCACAATCCCTAAGATAAAATGATTTTATTTCCTAAATATTGTGCCTGTTTAGAATCATTTTCAAAAACATTTTTCATGTTTTTTAAGAATTAAAAAATGAAAATGCACTCAAAAATGTGTTTGGCACGCATTTCTTCTAAAATAAAAACTGAAAACGTTTTTTTACTTGTTCTTAAAAACTTAACAAAACTGAAAACGATTAAGTATCGTTTTCAGTTTCCCACTCTTCTCCGATCTCTCTCAACCCCCCATCTTCTCCAATCTCCCTCGACCTCGCTGCCCTTAACCAACCCCCTCCTCATCCGATTTTCAAAATTATTCCTCCGAAACCCATTTTTTCATGTATATAATGTTTATTTAATATATTTAATATCATTACTTATTTAATATATTATTACATGTTTTTAAAAATTAAACCACTAAACACAATTTCAGTTTTTTTAAAATTGAAAACAATCTCAGAATAAAACTACCAAACGCATTTTCAGAAATGATTCCAAAATAAAAATAAAAACGTTTTTATTTTCATTTTAATACAAAAAATAAAATCATTTTAAAACGAATTTCAAACGTACTCCTATTTCGATCAATTTATAAAAATAACCCTGAAGTCACATCAAAAAAGAAAAGAATAAAATAGAACTCTGTTCTTAAAAAAAAAAAAAAAAAAAAAAAAAAAAAAAAAAAAGACCCCTGCCATAAACGCACGTGTGGGCGCGGATGCCAGCTTGGACCCCTATCCTCATTCCCGCCAAAATTGTTCCCGCCAAAAAGGCTAGTACCAGCTGTACAATGTCCTCTCTTCAAACCCTAACTTTTCCCTCTCCCAATTTCTCAAACCATTCTAGAGAGACTTAGAGAGAGAAGGCAAGGGAGAGAGAGAGTGGGATTACAATGTCTGGGTGGGACGAGGGAGCGATCTACTACAGCGACCAGGCGCAGTCGCTCGGTGACGGCTCAGGCCACGGTGGTCTTGGGGAAAACTCCTCCTCGTCGGCCCCCGCCACCAACCATTCCGTTCTCCAGAAGTTCAAGGAGTTCATCCGAAGCTTCGAGATTGAGAAGAATGTCTTTTCCTACAGCGAAAGCCTACTCCATAACCCTAAGTTCCTGCTCGTCGATCTTGAAGATGTCCACGCCTTCGATTCGGATCTCCCCGCCAAGCTCCGCTCTTCTCCGGCCGATTTCTTGCCTCTGGTATAGATCCTTAATTTCCGATCTCTCCTTTCATTTCCTACGATTCTCAGCCATCTAGTCTCAATTTTGTTTCCTTCTTCCGTTTTGTAGTTCGAGAATGCCGCGGGGCAGGTTTTGGCGAATTTGAAGACGAAAGTGGCAGGCAACGAAGGGCAATTGGAGGAACCGGTGCCTAAGGACGTCCAGATTTTGCTAACTTCCAAGGAGGATCCGGTTTCGATGCGATCGCTCGGGGTTAGTACTTTACTCTGGTCTCTTTTGTTTTAGTTATCTGATTTGTTTTGTCGAAATTTTGAGGAAATGGAAAGTTTTCGGATCTAAATTCGCATGTTCTTTAGTGTTCTTCAGAAATAAAGTAATTATCTTCAAATGATTTATTGATGATTTTCTGTTACTGAGCATTTCAACGTTGATAATAAATAGGCTCAGTATATATCGAAACTGGTGAAAATAGCTGGGATCACTATAGCTGCTTCGAGAGTTAAGGCCAAGGCCACATATGTGACTGTGATGTGCAAGAACTGTAAAAATGTGCAGAGAGTTGCGTGTAGGCCAGGCCTTGGTGGGGCCATTGTCCCTCGCACGTGTGGCCATGTTCCTCAGGTTTATCTCTTACTACTTACGTACTACGAAGTTTGTTCAATTTTCTTACATTCTTCTGCTAAAAACACTACCAAGGTTTAAAGTTTCTTGCATTATTCTGCTGTGGAAACTGAAAGCAAGCTCTTGAAACTTTTGTAGGCGGGGGAAGATCCATGCCCGCTTGATCCGTGGGTCGTGGTTCCTGATAGGAGCAAGTATGTTGATCAGCAAACCTTGAAATTGCAGGAAAATCCAGAGGTAAGTAACTGCGGGAGAAGGGGAAAGTGCAACAGAATTTTTCTTTTTGTTTCCAATTTTGCTTAGCTAATGGTTTTTTTTCTTGGTCATTGAAGGATGTGCCTACTGGTGAGCTTCCAAGGAACATGCTTCTATCAGTGGACCGACATCTTGTCCAAACTATTGTGCCTGGAACAAGATTAACCATCATGGGAATATACAGTATTTACCAAGCTTCCAATTCTTCCACATCGTAAGAATTGCTAAAACCGTGTGACAAATGTTTAATATAGTTAGGTTTGTAGTTTTCACAGATGAATTTTGGATATTCTTATTTGGTCAGTGCAGTCACAAAGGAGCAGTTGCTGTTCGACAGCCATATATCAGAGTTGTAGGAATTGAAGAAGCTAACGAGGCCAATTCCCGAGGTCCAGCTGCTTTTACGCCAGAAGAGGTAATTCATGATCACACCCAAACTTGTTCGATGAATATTGTACCATTTCTTTGCAATGCGTTGGCGAGTGCATTGATATAGACTACAGGTGATGTATCTGTGATAAAGTTGTGCTACAAAGATTCAACATGAGATGTTTTTTGCTTACCTCTCTTTCCAGTTTTCATTTTTCAAGTGCACTTTTGTAGATAGAAGAGTTCAAGAAGTTTGCAGCAGACCCTGATGCGTACAAGAACATATGCTCCAAAATTGCGCCCTCTATATTTGGTCATGATGATGTGAAGAAGGCTGTGGCTTGCCTCCTGTTCAGCGGATCAAGAAAGGTATGTTAGAAGTTGAAATAAAACTTTTAGGCATTTTTTTGGGGTTAAGATAAGTTTTACACTTTGTATAATCGATTTCTTTTTAAGCAGAACTTGCCAGATGGTGTGAAGCTAAGGGGGGATATCAACGTATTGCTTTTGGGGGACCCATCTACTGCTAAATCACAGGTTTGATTAGTTATCTTTTCCGGCTTAATATGAACCAAGTGTCACTGATGGACTCTTTTCTGTAAATTGTTGTCTAGACCTCATTTCAGTGGGAAATTCAGAGCAGTTTGTCTAGTCATATAGTTTTAATACCATTATTTCTCTTGTTTTGTTTTGGTTTTCAGACGGGTTCACTAATTTGGTTTTACTTATTTTTCCGTTAAAGTTTCTCAAGTTTGTTGAGAAAACAGCTCCTGTGGCTGTTTATACTTCAGGAAAAGGTTCATCAGCTGCCGGTCTTACAGCTTCTGTAGTCAGAGATAGTAGTTCTGTAAGTTCTTGATCTTGTAAGACTTTTTGGTCTTTATCTCTAGAACTCTCCCTTGTGGGAAATCTTGCCCATTGCCATCTTGGATGATAATTTTTCTGTTTTGTTAACCTCTTGCATTCCAGCGTGAGTTTTATCTTGAAGGAGGAGCCATGGTTTTGGCTGATGGCGGTGTTGTTTGTATTGATGAGTTCGACAAAATGAGACCAGAAGATAGGTAATGCGAATTAGAAACAAATTTTGATAAAACTGATACTTTGTCACGACCTTTAAAAAGTTATGTTTGAAATGTGGCTTAGGGTTGCAATCCACGAGGCCATGGAGCAGCAAACCATATCCATAGCTAAAGCTGGAATAACCACTGTTCTTAATTCTAGAACGTCTGTGCTCGCAGCTGCCAACCCTCCTTCAGGACGTTATGACGATCTCAAGGTCCATAGCCATCATCCTGGTTTTTATCACTTCCAGTTTGTTTAATGCATACTTGTTACTTTGTGACGATAACTAATCAGAATTCTTTCCTTCTTCCAGACTGCCCAGGATAACATCGATTTGCAGACTACAATTCTTTCTAGATTTGATTTGATCTTCATTGTCAAAGATATTAGGATGTACAGTCAAGATAAGGTAATTTTGCACAATTTTCTCAGAAATGTATTTGTGACATTTAGTTGGCAAAAATTGTCCTTGAACCTAAATTGTTTTATGTTTTTATTATGTTTTTTACTTGCAATGTGATGATCTATAAAATATTGACTCAGTTCTCCTTTCTAACAGATTATTGCACGCCATATCATAAAAGTTCATGCTTCTGCGGATGCTACCCTTGGTGACAGTAGAACTTCGAAAGAAGAGAATTGGCTGAAGAGGTTAACCTGAAGCAAATAAGCCATGAATTCCTTACAATGTCTCTTCCCCGATAATTATCAGTATTAAATCTTTTATTGGAAACTTGTAGGTATATACAATATTGTCGAACAGAATGTCATCCCCGTTTATCGGACTCTGCATCTACCTTGCTACAAAATAATTACGTCAAAATCAGACAGGTAATCTTTCTGCTACTTATTATAAACCATAACGGCTCATATGTAGCTCAAAAACTATTTTAAAAATATCAGCCAATTGCTCCACTCGCATTACCATTTACAAAATTTATGTGATTCTGAGAACATCTAGTCATCTTATGTATTTTTTGGATTTTCTTGAAGGACATGAGACGACAGGCAAATGAAACCGGAGAAGCTGCAGCAATACCCATAACTGTAAGGCAGCTGGAAGCAATTGTACGACTGAGCGAAGCGCTTGCAAAAATGAAACTGTAAGTGCTGGTTCTTCACTTGATAGTTTTCATGCATTGTATTATGTGCTAGATTCATGCTTAGAACTGTTGTAGCCATTGTTGGCTGTGATGTGGATATAAGAAATTTAGTTGTGAGATGTTGGTTGTGTTAAATTTTCATCCAAAATAGATTGTTCAGGCGAACTTTAGAGGGTTTTGGTAATTTTTATGACTTGAACGTTCTTTTTTTAATAGTAACTAATAGTATTATGAGCTTTTATAGCCGAAAAACCTGAAGATGACTGTTATAATTTGGTGTTTTACAAATGGCATTTAAAAGTAACTCTAATCGCTAATCTTCCCATCTACTAGCTTTTCAGAAATTGGCGGGTTAATGATTAACTGCTGGGTACACGAGACTTGCTAGTTGCCCTAACTATTGTCAGTAAAGGAATAAAACGGCAAATTAAACTTTTCTTGGATGCTATTGTTTTCGTTTTCTCTCCCTTTTTCCGTTTGCCGCCTTTCCTAATTCTGAGGCTCTGCTCATTCCATTACCCATGATTTCAGGTCCCATGTTGCTACTGAGGAAAATGTGCAGGAAGCTTTAAGACTTTTTACAGTTTCAACGATGGACGCCGCAAGGTCTGGAATAAATCAACAAGTTAATCTTACTCCTGAGATGGCAAACGAAATAAAGGTCTGTGGACTTTGTCAATTTGATTTTTTTTTTTTTTTTTCCTTTTCCTTTTCCTTTTCCTCTTATTCTTTGCAAACCAGGTTTGAAATTCTCTCTTACTCCCTTGAACAGCAAGCCGAAACTCAGATAAAGAGAAGAATAGGCATTGGGAACCACATATCAGAGAGGAAGCTGATTGATGAGCTCACTAGAATGGGGATGAATGAATCTACTGTAAGTGGCATTAAAAAGCCAATATTAATCTGTATTTCCCCTCATTCAACCTTTTATTACATGTTGGTGTTTTCATTTAATACTTATGTATATGTTAATATATACTAATAAACTTTTATAACAGGTGAGAAGAGCTCTTATAATCATGCATCAGAGAGATGAAGTTGAATACAAGCGAGAAAGGAGGCTTATTTTGCGCAAAGCGTAATTCATTGCAACGTTTTGTTGAACCCTTTCTATCAACTATACTCTAAACATTTATCATAGTAATTTTAGTTTCTGTATGCTGAATGAAACCAAGTTCTACCGTTCTAGGTAAAGATTATGGTAGCGTATTATGACTTCAAATTGCATTGAATCCATAACCATTTTAGTCATTAGAAAGAGTGTAAAATGGTTCCGAAGTGTTTTCTGATACACATGATGGTAAAAGAAGTGATACTTCCCTCTTCGCCAGTCGATTTTCAAATAGATTTATGATAATATCTGACATAAAACAAGTACCATAACAGCGGACAAAAAAAGGTGAATGTTGGGATTTTAGATGGCGGGGGGGGCAAAAAAGGGTTAATGGGGTTCCTAAACTCTCGAGAAGTAACATTTTAATAGTTTAAGTTCCTGATCCTAAAATTAATGGTATTTTTTTTTTGTTTTTTTTTTTCATTTAGCGGAAACATCTTTGTATATATCTATTGAATGAATTTACTTAAAGATAAGCATAAGAGTTGTAAAATGTTCCAACTGTTAAGGATTTTCAATTATATTAAAAATAAGTTTATACATCATATATCAATTTCTATTAAATTATAAATTATTATATAATAATTACGTAATTATTTTGACTTTCTTAAAAAATATAGCTACTTTTATAATTAAAGACGGAACTTTTAAAAACATTAAATTTTGGAACCATTCAACTAAAAGAATTTTGAAATGAAATTGTACTAATAATACAGAAATTAACAACTTTAAAAAGTTTATTCACAAATGAAGCGGTGGGTAGAGAATGTGGGGTCCAGGGTAATTTATATCGAATTTTGATGATAACAAACACGTTATTATTATTTCTAATTAATCTATCTTGAGTTTTGTTGATTAAGAAAATGGATTATTATATTGATCAACTCAATAGTAAGAAAAAGAAGAAATGAAGATGGTGCAATCGTACGGAGAATTGGAAAAGATAATTGAAGATAATTCAAGGAGCACTAAGATTGAAGATCGAAGATGAAGATCAATCAAGACATCATTCTATAGGTTTACTCTAATTCTAGTTTGTATTGATTTTGATTTCATACTATTAATTGTTAAATTTTAGGTTTGACTCTTGCACACACGCACATCAATATTTTCAAAATTAAATTAAATCATTACAATTGTTTTTGAATTGGTTTAAATGTATAAATTTTTAAATTGATTGAAAATTGTTTCTTTATCCATTTTTATGTATTGATTTGGTTTTAGCCTATATAATTTCACTGGTATCTCATCTCACAATCGGTCAACCGGTGGTAATTCATAGCTCAACTAGTACTATTCAAGCGATCAAAAATCTAGTTATTCGACACGAGTTAAAACGGACAAATTGACTTATTTTCTCTTATTAAAGACCTTCTTGAGGTCTAAAATGGGGCAGGAAATGCTATGGAGAGCTCCTATATTGTCTAAAATCTAAAAGTTCTCAAAAAGTGCTTACATAATCATATGCTTCATTAAATTATCTCTTAAATTTTCTTACACACTCTTGAGCGTACCTTATATTTCCTTTTGATGGTGTGATCTCACCATCTTCTAGTTATTTTTTGTGTAAAATTATTCTAGGAGTAAGAGTTTGAGTACTTCATCTGTCAAATAGCTTTGTAATCTTCATTTAACCTTCTTTGAAGCTTTGTGAATTGGAATTTTCTTAGTTAGTCTATTTTCAGAGAAAATCGATGGCTGTAAGAGGTTGGGTGAGTCTCGGGTAGAAAGATTTATCAGTTATAACATGGAATTGATTGTGTCGTAAAGATGATTGGATAGTGGAAGAGATCGAGTGATAAAATAGCTCGACAACCGTGGATATAGGTAATTTTTACCGAACCACTATAACTCCTCATTTGCACACTTCTCTCCCTACCTCTCTTTAATTTATTGAATTCAACTTTAAATTGTGCTTTTGATTGTCGATTGTCTTCTAGAGATTGGATTACTTGTTTTCCTTGAATTGAATTGAGTGTTCATTAAATTGCCACATAGTCTTTAATAAAATAACCATGAATGTTTGTTAAGTTGCCCTTATATTGTTTGATAAAATTACCGTGTAAAGATTGTTTTCGTTAATTGTTGATGCTTGTGTTAATTCTTCAATAATTGTATTTGTTTTTAAAAAATCTTAAAATACCCCATTCACCCTCTCTTTGGTAGCTTTTCTTAGGATTACAAAGAATATCGGTACCAAATAAAAAAACATCTGAATTGCATTAAATAATAGTGTAATTATGCACTTATTGTTGGGTTAGTTACGCTAATAATTTTCAAGACCTCGTTCATTTCACCGATTTAAGTTTTTAATTTTAAGTTTCTACAGTAAAAAACTCTCAGAAAATGTTACATCTAACTTTTTCCGCGAAGTGAACGAGGCCTAAGTATATGCAACTGTCCCATTTTCATTTTGACCATCGGCATTAGAGGATTAAAAAATATATTTTGATCTCTTAGACCATCCAATGCATATGTTAATATTAATTGTATATTTGACATTAAAAACTATAATGTGGTATATTACAATCATTTGTGCTTTAATACATGATACTATTTGAAATGCTATATATATTTTTTCTCATAATCATTCAACTTTAAAAGTTGTAAGAATAAACTTTTATAAAATGTAAAAGTTACAAGGATTACATGAAAAAGTAAATATTTCAACTAATAATGATCAAATGTCAAATATATCATATGCTATATTTATAAGAAATTTATTACAATGTATGGCATATGACAAATTTAACACAATAAATAGAATTGTAAACGCCATACAGAATTAAACATGTTTAATTATGTTAAATTACGAGTTATTAATAGCCTAATTTAATTTTCTCAATTAATTAAGGAACTTTAAATTATTTTTAGTATTTATGATTTCACCCTAAATTTTTTTTAAAATACACTTAATTTTAATATATTTTCTTTTATTTTTCCTTTTTCTTTCTTCTTTCTTTTATTTTCTTTCTTTTATTTTTCTTTTTTCCTTCCCTTCCTTCCTTCCCGTGGCTGCCCAGACCACCCCCTCTATCTCTTTCTTTTCTTTTTTCTTCTCTCTCTTTTCCTCTCACCGGCGCCACTCACTCTCTCTCTCGCCGGCGCCCTCCTTCTCCCGACGCTCTCTCTCTCTCTCTTTCTCAACCCTCTCTCTTTCTCTCTCTCTCTGTGGCTGATTCTACCGAAACAGCAAGCCAAAAAAAAAAAAAGAGAAAACGGGAGAAACAGAGGGAGCAAGGCTCCATCAATTAATTTGAGGTAAAACCGATTGAAACCCACTCTTTGATTTGAATTTTAAACTTGAGAAAGTTTGATTTTAGTTACATTTAAATAATTTTGAGTTATGGTTTGGATTTAAAGAATTATTGTTAGAATTGAATTAAATTTAGAGATTTTCAGTTATTGGACTTGTTGAATTGATTGGAAACTGGTTTTGATGATTTCCGGAGAATTTATTTTGAAATTAAACTTGAATTGCAAGTTTGGCATATTCCCTATTTATGTTGACATGTTGCTGAAATTTCTTTAAAAACTTATTTTTTTAAGTCGAAATTCAATGAGAAACCAAACTAATGAATTGGATTTCAATTTTAAAGAACATAAAAACTAAATTATAAAGTCGTTTGTGAAACTCGAATTTGAGCCAAGACACACTAATAGGAAACAATTAAACATAATTGAACTTGATTTGTTTTAGCATTGAGGATTGTGTCCTAAAACTTTGTTTTGTGACAATGTTAGTTGAAGGATCAGATTAAAAGCTTTGAGGAAAGCGGATGCTAGGATAACGAAAGACTAGCCCAGGTTTGATATATGAGAGATAAGATATTCTTATCCATATCCTTGTTAGCCTTATTTTAAATGATTTTGGCCAATAAAAATGTTTTAGAACAAAACATGTTTAAAGAAAATGATTTTAAAGAAAATAGCATGAATAAAGCTATTGAGTTTCCAATGATTTTGGAAATGAGATTTTAAAGAGTATCATTTCTTAAAATGATATATTTTAAGAAATGATAAAACGCATGGTGGCCAGAGAGATCGGGATATGAGAATTGTATCCTTGGGGGTAGGTCTCGAAACCCGTATGGTTCACTTCTTGCTCAGTGGTGTTATTATGTCATTGCATATTTTCATTATACAGATATTTTACTACTATTACGTGAGTGTTTTCTTTTTCTAAAAAGGATGATCGGTTCTGGGTGTATGTCTTCAGATTGTAAGTACTTTTATTTATTCAGTTTTATAAAATGATATCCTACTGGGCCTTCCGCTCATTTTTCTTCTATTTTCAATGTTTTAAACTCCCCCTCCAGAGTTAGCGGGTTGGATTTACAGCATGGCGAGCAAATGCTAATGGATTGAAGGCGCGAGATTCAAAGTGGTTAGTTTGTTTTGAATTTACAGTTTTTAATTTTGAGATGTACTGTATTTTTGTACATAAACTGTATTGGTCGTCATTGTCCCAGAGTTGTATTATTTTCTTTGGATTTCATGGACTATTTTTAAATATTGTTTGTAAAAGAAAAACTCCGGAGCAATATATTTTAATATCTATTTTAGTATTTGTATATTTTATTTTATTTTTATGAATTTTCCTTAATTAATCCAGTTTAATTAAGTTAATTTTTTAATTATATCCCAATAATCACAGCCCTATTCTTGGAGTCGTGACAATTAAAGAGTATTTTTTACACTCAAATACTAAATTTTCAGTTAGTACATCAAATTATAGTATTTTGTTGGGATGCTTTTAGCTGACAAAGTATATAATGGGATGTTTGTTTTAAAGGTTCGTCCCCGTTTCTGAACCATGGTTCTTGGTTCTCTACATTGTTTTTCTCTCATAAAAAATTTAAATTTCAAAAATTAGAATTATGAATTATAGTTATGAACTTATGAACCAAATGTCGCACAAATTTAGACATTATGTAGTATGAGTATAGCATGTGAGGTTTTCAAAAAAGATGAAATGATTATAAATGAAGCAAATAATTATTATAAAAAAAGATTTATACTGGCGAAACAATTAATTTTTTATTTTACGTTTTTTTTTTGTTTTTTATGATTTTTTCTTCAAAACTGATTTTTATTATTTTCTCACTCTTAAAACTCTTATAACGATATTAGATTTTTTATGAAGAAAAATGTTATCGTCATTTTTTTTCTTACTTTTTATATTTATTATTTGATACATAAATTTCACTAATATAATATATAATTATTTAAAAAAATTAAATATTAGAGTCTACATATTAAATAATAAATATAAAAAAATGACGAAGTAAAAAAATAATACTAACATTTATCACTTTATGAAATTGAATTTTTTTATTAATTGACTGATCAAAATTGTACATTCATGAATCTCATAGGCCATCAGTTTGAATAGCCCTTTTATTTATTTATTTGGCCTTTATTTATTTTTTGCCTGTTATTAAAAAAAATAACCGCACTTCTGTTTTTTTTTTTTTTTTTTTTTTTTGAAAACAGCCGCACTAATGTTTTTTTCTTTTTCCTTATTAGCAACTGTAGCCTGTAAGAGATAACGAAACGCAGAGAGAGAGAGAGAGAGCGGTATTCCGGCACTTAAGACCTTCGAAACTCTGTGTGAGAGAGAGAGAAAGAGAGAGAGAGAGAGGTGATGATGGCTCAGAGCCGTTGCTGGGGTCTTAACAGCAGAGGAATTTCAACCCCGTCACCATTTCTTTGTCTCTCGTCTTCTACTTCTTCCTTTTCTCGTCCTCCTCTCAGGTTTCTGTTTCCTCTCTATAGCAATCTAGCTTAATCTTAGTCTTAACTGACTCTAGTTGATCGTATCTTAAACTGTCATTTAATAGTGAAGTGGTGCCTTAGATACGCAGTGCTCGGTGCCGGCTTTGCTGGGCTCTCTGTCGCTTTTCATTTGCTCAGTGTATGCTCTGTATTCACTTTTTCTTGGGTATTCTACCAAAGAAAACAAAAAGAAAGGGTATTAAACCATTTTTTTTTTCTGGTGCAGGAAAGTGCAAAAGAATTAAATTTATGCATAGACATATATGATGAGATTGGGATTGGTGGAGGTGCTTCTGGAGTTTCTGGAGGACTCATTCATCCTTATTCACCCAAAGGTTTTCTTTTTTCTTTCCTTTCCCCCCCCTCTAGGTATGCAGAGTTCGCGTATTTTTGTTAGTTGATGGTAACAATATAAGTAGATATTTATTTATTCATTTATTTTTTACTGTCTTGAAACAAAACTATTTTGTAAATAAAGTTTTTATTATTTTCTGATTTCTGATATATGTCACCATGATGTCAGTAATTACAAAAAGAATCTGACGTGACAATGACAAAATAAAATAATTAAATTTAGTGATATCCTTGAAATACTTATCTTTTTAGTGCTGTATATATATATATATATGTATATATTTATACACACGTATATAAGAATTATGTTAGCGATATTTGGTATTCCATACTAGCAGCTAAGCTTCTATGGCGAGGTGCTGAGTGTTGGAACGAGTGTTTAAGGCTTTTGAGCACTGCTGAAACTGCAGCTATGTGTTCGGATGATTTTGACTTAGGAGTTTCAGATTTTCATGGCCTCATTGTTCAAAAAAGGTCTCTCTCTATTCTCTCCAAGTATAATTATTGTCTCCTTGTGTCTTTGATACAATTTTAAGTTTCAAAGACATTGTTGTTGTTGGATTGTGGACTTGATATCTGCTTGGTATTTTTGAAGAAAAAAATCTTCTCATTTTCTAGGATCCCATAGAATGCAAAAGTAGTGTGGTATTATGCAATGAGCCTTTCTGTTCATATAAAAGGACCATCAACTCATGTTTATCCCATTTATGAGATATTTAAATTGCTTACAAGTATTTTGGAAAGTGAAAACGGGTCTATATTTCTGATGGGATTTCTTCAATTTAGAGGAATCTTGAGACCAGCAGTGAGCATGAAGAACTTGTTGCTGTTGAGCGATGTAATTCTCTCTGAACTTAATGTAAGCACAAGGTTTCATTTCTGATACTTCGTCTTGTAGTAATGTCGGTGCTTCTTGCTCTACCAAATTAGAATGCTCGGAATTGCCTTTCCAGTTGCAGAATAGAAACTATTGACAAGGAGGCTGCCCAAAATCTTGTTCCCGATCTATGTGTACCTTTCAATACAGCCTTCCACATGCCTCAAGCTGTAAATATTCATCCTCAACGCTATCTTCAGGTCTGAATTGTACATTCCATGCTTTGATTGAGTACTATTTTTTTTTCTTTTATTATTATTATTATTATTATTATTTCTCTTACTACTTCATCTGATGCCTTATTTTGCTAGGCACTTTACGTAGCATGTGAAAATTTAGTAAAGGAGCAATCCAGTTCTGGAATTGGGGAAAAAGAGTTACATTTGCACAAGAAATCTGTGCACAAAATCCTTGATTTAGAAGGTAATTGCTCAGCGCATAATTCAAGCAGTTGGATAAACAAATTCCCCTTCGATTTTGATAAATGCACTGTTTATAAATGAAGTTCTAATTGTTGTTTTATTTGATGCTTTAGCCATGAACTTGTAATTTTCTTGATGATTCTACTTTTTCATATTATGTCTATTTTTCTTCGTGGTTAGTTAATGTCTGATCGCATATAATGTTAGGGGAATACCAGGCAGTTATAATATGTCTAGGTGCCAAAGCAGACATGCTTCCTGAGCTTGCTGGAAGGATTCCTTTAAGGACTTGCAGAGGTGTGGTTGCGCACCTTAAGCTGCCTGATGATATCAGGTAAAGTTATCTGTTATCACTAGGCCTTTTGCTAAATATCAAAGTCAACTCACACCTTCAAAATTGAGCTGATTTCAGACATAAATCCATTTTAAAACAAGTCCACATTTACACAATTACACAACTTAATTTCGCTTTCAATCTGCTGTGGGGTGGGCATAAATTTCAGCTCAAGCAACTGAAGTACCAAACCTAGCCAATGTAGGATCGTAACACTAACACGTAATGATCATACTAAAGATGGTAAAAATGTGTGCTCGAACAATTTTTTTAGTTTTGCAGTAGTATATTATGAATCCAATCACGCTTGAATTCTTTACTAGGTGTCACGGTTAAAAATCAGTTTCCTAAAGTTGTCACCTTTCAGAGAAGAGTATCCAGAGCTTGGCCCGTCGATATTGTCAGATGCTTGGCTAGCTATCCAGGGGCCCCGAAGCTTGTACATGGGCTCTACATGGGAATGGAAATCCAGAAACTCATCACCAAATGTCTCCACATCAGAAGCCTCAAAAGCCCTTGAAGAGCTTCTTCCCAAGGCATATGCCATTTATCCAGACCTCAAGAACTGGACTTTCACCACAGCTCGGGCAGGTCTGAGGGCGATGCCGCCGCTCACTCCCCATGGCTCACTTCCACTTCTAGGCTGTGTCAATGACATTGTAGGTGAGAACAATGGCTGCAAATACTGGTTATTTGGAGGACTTGGTGCAAGGGGACTGTTGTACCATGGTTGGCTTGGGAAGTTGATGGCACAGGCTGTGCTTGCGTGTAATGAACAACTAATCCCATCTGAATTAACCTCGTGGAAGAAGAGAATCTAATAGATGAAAAAAGTTCACTATACTCATTTGGCATTTAAAACACTCAACTGTATTCTAGCATTCTTTGTGATTGATGCAGTATAGTCTACTGATTTCTTACCGTTGTCTAGGGGAATAATTTCCTCTTTTTTTTTTTTTTTTTTTTTTTTTTTTTTTTTTTTTTTTTTTTAGTCCCGTAGTACGATAATATTTTCAGCTCAGAGCTGATCCCGAAAGCATGAACATAGAAAAAGACTTTTGTTAATTTTTAATAGTATGTCATGTCAACAAATTTGTTAGGCATATAGACGGAAGACAGAAGTGGTTGTGGGGTGCATTTTGCCGGGAAACATTTTGAAAAAAGGTTTATACTTTGGGTGCATTTATGAAAATAGTTTTTAATAATATCCTCATCATTTTTGCTTCAATCAATGACACAAGAACTTGGTTTTTCTTTTCCCCAAAAATTAGAGAAAAATTAGTATGCCACCAAAATCTAACAACTTTATGTTGACATCATCTAATCTCTCGTTAATTTGTTGATTAAATATATATATATATATATAGAGTGAGAGAGAGAGAGAGTTGGAAATGTCTGGTCATCTTTGTTGAGAATAAGAAATAATATTTTATGATGAATTAAGTGTCATAGATATTAAATTTATGCTATTGAGGTGGTATAAATGTGAATATGACGTTTTTGTGTAACATTTTATATTTCTCCCTTTATTCTTTCTAAGAAAGCCCTCGGGTTAATTGGCAAACATTTTGACGAACTCATTGTAGAAAAGAAAAATCATCGGATTGCCACGAGTAATAACGAAGTTTAAGTTGTTTAGAAAAAAAAAAAAAAAGAGTAGATTAAGAATAAAAGCGTAAATCAAATTAGCAATTTGTTATTAAAATAAAAGCACATTGTAGGCAAGAAAAATGGGTTGCAACAAGATCTAGCTACGTTCACACTAATTATAATTATAATTGATTAGTTTTACCTGCCATACATGAGTTAAAAAAACTAAAATGTATCCAATAATAACCTGTCCAACCAGTTTGGTAATTCTAATTGTTAATGATTTCAATCTATTATAAAATTATAAGCTAAATATAAAATTTCAGTCCTATAATAGATGGCTGTACATGACTAGTTGCACTAAGAATCTAGAAGTTACTAGCAAGCCCGTTAGTAACAATGTCTTCTTCTTTTTCTTCTTCTTTTTTTTCACTGTGCAATTTGCATATTTTTTATTTAGTTAAAATTATTAAAATATTTCAATACAAAAATGTTTTTTTAATTGTTTCTTTAAGAAGAAATAAATAAAGATGCTAATAAAATCTATTTATTTATTTTTAAGTCAAACTGGAATACGACATGCTAATCGTATTTTTTAAGGGATGCCAATAATATTTTAATAACAATAAACATAAATAAGTATAACCAATTTATTATTATTTTCAAACTAAAAAGTTGCATACATAAAAATTTGTACAATAACAATGTAAAATTATTAGGAAGTTTTTAAATTTTAAACCAAATAAAAAATAGAATTTTTTATCGTTTTGTCAAAACGACGTCGTTTTTATCATCAAAAGAAAAACGACATATCCTTTCGCTCTTGAAAGGATTTTTTGTTTTTGTCAAAACGTCATTTTAAAGAATCAGAAAAAATGACATGTCGTTTTGTTGGTGAAAGTTTTTTGTCATTTTTTGTCAAACCGACATGTCATTTTGTAAGTGTCACTTTTTCGTCGTTTTATGGAAAACGACGTTGTTTTGCCTCATATGTAAAAATGACATGTCGTTTTGTTGATTAAAATTTTTTTATCATTTTTCACAAAACGATGTCAATGTGCCGCAATAGAAAAATGACATCTGATTTTGTTTGTGAATTTTTTTTTGCCGATCTTGACAAAACGACATGTTCATCATGAAGCATAATCGGCTCATGCATATTTTATTAATGTTTTTAAAGTTATGTTTTGTGAGAATGATTTCCTACTTGCTGAGCGAAAGCTCAATTAGATATGTTCATGGTATAGGTAATAAAACTATCAGCAATTCTTGAAGGGCAGTGGTGAGCGGCGGACGAATGGTGGAGATGAGAATGGATACCGTAGTAAGTTTAAATAAAATCATGTACATGTATATATGATTCACATGTTTCAAGCATGTATGTTTAAAAAGTATATGTACGTATGTATGTTAAAGAGAACCGACGTTGTAGCTAACAACCCTAGTCTTGAGTATTTAAGTTTTAAAATGTTGCAACAGTCCATGCAACAAATATACGAATTTCTAAATATGGTAATTTAAATGATTGATTTTGAAAAATCTTTAAGAAGTATTTAAATTTAAGATTTCTCATGAATTCCAGTTTTAAAGTCATATTAGATAGTTTGATTAAACTGGCTAGTTTTAGAAAGGCTTTTAAAGAGTATTTGAAACAAGAATTCAAACGTCATTCAGTTTAAAAGATATTTTTAGAAGGTATTATTTTAGTTGAAATTAAGAAAAGCTTTAAGAAATTTAATATTTCATTTTAGGAAATTATTATTACGATTTATGAAATTATCCATTCGTATACTTTAAGTATTTGTTTTAAAAAAAAATTATTCTACTATTTCAAGTAATTTAAGTTTAAGAATATGTTATGTATGTTTAAGTAATCGGCCACGTAGGAGGGTCGTCACAGTTAGTATCAAAGCCAGTATCCTGCCATCCTATTCCATGTCGTCACGCGTCTGCTTTGCCACAGTCTAAGTAAGTGGAATTAAGTTTATGTTAAGTAGATTACGATAGCTAATAAGTAACGTCTTTGATCTAATTACATAGTCGAATGATTGACATGCCAATATGGCTTGAACATCTTCTCACGGTCGAATGTCGAGCCTAGTCACCATGATGCATCAAAACACGGGAAGCCAAATTTGGCGCTGGATTTTTGGACGAGAAAGACAACACCAAGAATTACATGATCATGTGAACTGACACTTCGAGGTGAACGATGCTCGGAGTACAAATCCGGATGAGGATATGTGGAGCTTCATTTAATGGTTCGGAAGAGAGCTAACACAAGGACTTTCCTCCGTTTACCCTTCGTCCTTATTTTTCTATCAATTAGAAAGCTACAATCAAGGGAACTCCGCTACGGAAAGATAATAAGCCGTAAGTCATCTTCTACATAATTGCTAACTCATGACCAAAGTGCAGCATATGAGCAAATCTTCACCAGAAGTCGATTCTATTAGTGAATGAATGACGCCCCTTACTCTGCCATAAGAACCAAGAACGAAGGGACAAGTCTTCTCCAAATGATTACCACCAAGGTGATAATATCAAGGCACTTATCTAAAACACAGATGAGCACTTTGACCTAAAGGCCTTCTGATTTGAACCAATAATGAGGACATCGACATTAGGTCTAGAGACGACGTAGAGGATTAGATAGATGTTGTACCACTATGAGGTTAGTGGTGTGACACACCATACGATTGAGCAAGAATACATTGGGTATAAAAAGTAAGACTTACGTATAAATAGTAGAAGCTTCTGATAGGAAGAACTTTATGTTATGTGACTTGCTGTATCCGAGTAAGGTCTCGAACTCAGCGACGGTCTGAAATATGCAAGAATTGCTAACTTCGAACATATTTAGCAATTTCATGATGTGAAAGCTAAATTCCATGATATAGAATATGATGAATATGTGTATGAATGCTATGGATTATGTATGTTATATGCATTATAAATACACTACAACTTACAAGTATGACATGAAATAGTTGCTAGCAAAATAAAAATGTTTAGCAACTCTATGATGTGAAAGTATGAACGATATGAAAATGAATAATATGAGCATAAATAGTATGTGTATACACGGTGTGTATAAATGTAGTGAATTGCCTGCTAATTGTATTGTAAATATGATAAGGCTCATGAATGTTATGTAATGCATAGTGAGGTCTATAAGAAACTCGTTAATAATCTAACCTCCTAGTTTACGGTTACTAAGGAGACTTTATAAAATCAGAATCTCGATAAGGATAGATACATGGATCCTTAAAAGAAATCATGATTGAGTAGAAATCTAGGAAATAAGAGCAAAATATTTCCAGAGGTTACAGATTGTGTATGGGTGATTACTCCCAAGTTAGTATTCGACCAAGCCAAACCACCATAGGGAACTCAGAGCAAGATATCTCCTACTCAACTTGCAATGATTAAGAATAATCATTGCAGATCTGTTAACTGTCATCCTACGGGAAACTAAATCATGTTAAGTAGATGTAAAAGCAGAAGATTGTTTTTACTAACCAACGAGATGTAAGTAACGTCGCAAGGAAATCTTATGACAAAAGCATGGCAAATAGACCATTTTTCCATTGAAGGAATCAGGAAGAAACAGTTTCAGAACGATTCAATTTGTGAGCCCTTTGAATAGAAATAAGTAGATGACCCAAGCAACAAGAAACCATTAGAAACTCTTGAACGAAAGACTCAACCTCCATATGATCTAATGACATTCAGACATTAATAGACAGAGAATCCAGTTAAAAGATAAGGAGATAGAGATGCACTCTTAAGTAAATGGGAAATCCCTAAATGGAGTAGTAGATGTACCCCATCGAAATTGTTAAGCTAAAAGGACCATCTTAAGTAGATGTGGTTCCTTTTAATTATGAAGCCTTCATACAACAAGAGTTATAGAGTAAGGAAGGTCGGAGACCTTAGAGTCAGACATCGAACCCTAAAAATTAGACACTGCGAAATACGAGTGTAGGGTTAAAATTAAAAAAAAAAAAAAACCCTTTGACCAGCTAAGACGTGCCGTGTAAAGGAGAAACCCTCTGGTATGAATTGTGGAGCGAGCTTAAAAGAGTATCGCTTTATCTTTAGAGAGAAATTTAATCACGAACCTGACGCTCAGAGAAATTATAAGTGTGTGTAACCACGTAGTACAAGGCCGATTATGACGTTAACCTAACAACGAAAGCTTTCCCGCACTCATAACAAAAGATTTCCTTCAAGAAGTGATAGACATGAATGACTGATTTCTTTCGGGAATATCGATACGATCTCCCTGATAAGATTATAGATAGTAAGGACTAGAAAACTGACGAAGTCTAGTCAATATGATTAACAAGTTAAAGAAATAAGATACGAGAAGGATGACGCCTATAATGTGTCCAAGTAAAGCTTATCAAGCCTCCCAACCTCTTTAGGACCGATAGGAATTCATCACCAGTCGAGTTAGAGCATATAACAAACAAAAGTTATGATCATGTCTAAGATTGGAGAGTTACGGATAATTCGATAGACCATTATGACTTAGTAGAGCATAAGTTTCATTAAAGGACCTGAGAACAGGTGTCAAGCTCTTATTGTTCAGCTAAAAGGTAGAATCGATGGAGTTCCTCTAAATAAGATATAGAAGCTATCAAAACTAACATCAAAAGTTAGATTAATAATAATCACATTGTAGTCAAAGAACTAAAATAGAAAGATCATTTTAACTAGCGATCTAACCCAACTAAGACTATCAACCTTAGCCTCTCGCTTCGGGATGTTGATGATAATATCGAAATAGAACAGTTGTAACAGAACCCATTAGCTATGAAGTGAAGGAATATGAGGACTTGATTAAGTTAAGACTAAGAAGACATGAAAATGGTAAGATACAAATGATAAGCTACGATGAATAATGAGTCCACCACTCTTAGCCTGGTTCAGACTCGACAATGAGAAAGATTAGGAATAGTGAACCATGTGGGAGACTTTCGAAGCCAAAACACAACATATACCAGAATTCATAAGGAAGTCTGAATATGACATAATATACGATAGTAACCTAAAAAGAAAAATAACACGTATTCAACCATGGATGCGATGCCTACCACGTAAGAAGTTAAGAATTTACTGTAGAAACGAGATCGGTTAGAACTCCGTAGGGAGATGAGCTATATAAACGGCGAAGAACCATAAAATGACCAAAAGTGAGATTATGTCACTAAATGGATAAAACCAGTCAGAGTTAAAATATCATATGTTTTCCCTAAGAAAATAGATACTCAAGAGACTAAGATCACGACATCAAATTATGTAGAACGTAGCAAAAAAAATGTATAATTAATAGGCTTAGCTAGCCACAGTCGATGACTTAGAGCTTGTCATGATAGTAAATGCCTTGGCAATATGGTGATTATTACAGATAATGAATAGACGTCTGATTTTCACGGATCTCGAGAAACTTAAAGCGTATGTCCACTTGGAAAGAGTTCGATAGTGCCAAAGACGACAGTAAGAAGGGGACTAGGACAACGGCTACGAGGTCCTTAAACGCCCAGCTAAAGCCAACAAGTCACCAACGTGCTTCATTATAATCGGTTGTCACCTAATGTCGATTTTAGTCCACCTTCTCTAGTTATTGCAAGACGACACCGATGACCTTAATCAAAAAGCTATCAACAAGCACGGTTATCATGCACCAGCTGAAGAAATATCAAGAGAGTTTAAAAACTTTAACCATAGCTCACTAGGATTTTGAAGAAGTTAATAATAATAATAAATAAATAAAAATAAAAGGAATTTGAAATTTATATATTTAAGTGTGAAACTTTTCACAAAAAGGGTAAGAGTTTGCATTCTTGATGATGAGAAGATGCAGAAACGACGATTTTTTTCTAGACTCACGATATGTCTTATCTAGTTCAACAAGAGGTTAAGAGGATGAAAGAGAAAAAAGAGGACCTAAAGGGACATTTTCGACGGAATCAAGTAAAGAAGATCATAACGGCTCTCGTCAGTAGACGTCTCATCTATCAAAAAGCAGGGCTGAACACGAGCATATGATTATAAGACTCTTATCAAATAGAGACCCTACGCGGAACTAGGTCAAGATCACTATAGATCTTGCAGTAAGATTTCCTAGAATCGGTATCGACAATAACGCCATTTGAGAAATCATAGATTGAATTTCTTAGGGACACACATTTTCTACAGATGGAACATCCTAAATGTTTGAAAAATTAGCAGGACTGTACGTTAAAGAGATCGTTAGGCGTCATAGTGCTTCAAAATCTATCACCTACAGATGGAACATCCTAAATGTTTGAAAAATTAGTAGAACTGTACGTTAAAGAGATCGTTAGGCGTCATAGTGCTTCAAAATCTATCAATTCACGATTGTGGTAGCCGAATCATTTTCACATTGTAGAGGAACGTGCAAAAAAATCGTAAGTGGAAGAACTTAAGAATTAGCACCGCTTTTACCCTCCGACCAACGATTTCCTCATGGATAAACGTATAGATTCATAAGATAAGTTAAGAGTATATGCTATAGGTTTCGAGGGTAACAGGGATAAGAAGCTACCCTGATAAAGATTTTGTATAACAAAAGCTATCATACTGCATTTGGCATGTAACCATTTGAATTTTTTTCTTTCCCGAAAGGAAATACAAATCCCTAATGTATTGGCGCAAACTTGGGGAGAAGCATATGGAAACCGCAAAATCCATCAAGCGGACCCCATGGGTAATGAGACGAAACAAAGAAAGGCTGGACACAGTTCAAGGCCGCCGGAGAGTTATGCAGATAGATACAGCGCATGTTTAGAATTCTAAGTAGGGAACTTAGTCATCCTGAAAGTTGCACCGACGAAAGAAGTACGGAGAATCGTCAAGAAAGAAAAAAAAACTTAGCCCAAGATATGTTGGATTTCTGAATCCTTAAAAGATAATTGGTTAGATCCAGTACAAGTTAGTATTGTCGCAAGAATTCACTTTTATGCACAATGTTTTCACATATCGACATAGGCGAATTGTGTATTCAGAACCGCCCCAAGTGTTGCACTAAAAAAACCAGTTGAGGTGCACAGAAACATATCATAGAGAATGTTGCGAATGGTGTCTTAGAAACATGAAATGTAATAGGATATTTATTATTTATTTGATAAAAGAGTTTATTCATTATTTTATGTACATCTAATTATGAATATTTTATGAATATCAATAAAAATTCAATGATTATTTATGTGACCTTAAGCATTGTATGTAAGTGTTATATATGAGAGGATGATGTTTAAGGATACTAATCAAAACAATGTTTGTAATGAATTTAATAAAAATTCAGAATCTTTAACTAAAACATTATTAATACATGTCATTCCCATTTAGAATGTAACGGTGTTATCCGCACTGTTAATATGACGAGATATTGAATGAGTATTGTTGTGTGGGAAAATATGGCAGGCGCGTGGGTGAAGTACACCGCGACACGTGGCCTTAATTAACCCCCACCGAGCAAGGAACCCTCGACGCTTGCAGATTCCTCATATTCCTCTGCGAAGGCCCCAAGATGAAGTCCAAGTTAAGACGACGATCCTTTGTGGCGCCGACCAATTGCGCCGTCGACGCAATAGGATGAAGATCTCTCGACCACAGGAAGAAGGCGGTTGGGCTAAGAGGTACTGGCAACGAGGGAAACGTCCTCAAGAGGACGTAACGGGTTACGTGCAAGAGGGGAGGCGGTCTGCGAGCATTAATTGCGAGCTGTCAGACTGCCCCCATAGGGGACATGAAAGTATTACGGAGAAGCACAGAGCCGTAATAGAAGACTAATCAGCCGAATGAACAGTGCAAATTAGTGGGCTGCGTCTGGGCCTACCAAAGGAGAGCACTTGAGTGCTTCTAGCTGTGAGGGAAACCTCCCGAGCGAAGGAAGCCCCAGTATAAAAGGAGAAAGACCCCCAACGAGGAGGGGGTTAAAAAATAAAAATAAAAACACTAGCTGAGAAAACAAAAAAGATTGTAACTTGTATCTTACCCCAAACAAGGAAATACTAGATTATAGTGGATGTAGCTCTAAAGTTTATAGAGTGAACCACTATAAATTCTCTTGTGTCATTTATATCTAAGAGGTTTTTAATAGACACTCACACACAAATAACGCACCAATTTCTGACGCGTTAAAATACACATACACGGCTGGTAATCCAAGGGGAAACCAAGAGGTAACCCGGCCGGTTTTTTGTTGGCGAAATTTGACTGTCAACAATTGGCGACTCCGCTGGGGACCGAAAGCGTTTGACCCCCAACAACATAGCAACAAGCCGCCGCCCGTCCAGGGAATAGCGGGATGGAAGGAGATCTACGCCCGGTCGGAAATGAAGTTCCACCTCCAGAGCGCCACGGCCAGATCCGATGCAGATGCAGGTCCAACTGACCACTCTAACCGAGCTGGTACGTGGGCTAATGACCGTGGTGGAGCGCTTAGATGGAAGGAACTCCATGCCGCCATTAGAAGATGCTCCGATGCCGCAAGGACCCGCCATGGCCGGAGATCCAAACCGCGGCGACTACCCACCTGTCCAAGAGGGAACCGGAGATAGTGAGAATCACCGGGGCCCTCCTAGGCCTCGGCCTTCCCAACCCCCCGTCAGCCGTTTGGGGGCCGCCGGGCTCCGAGCTCCCGAGGACCGGGTACTGAGAGGTCCTAGAAACCCCGAGGTACTATCTCAGAATCCAGGTGGAAACCCACCAGGAGACTCAGGCTCAGTGCAGGCAGGCGGCCAGGCCCGAGGCGGACCCAACGTTCAGAGCAAAAGTAGCCGGCTCGGCCATTTTGACGGAGGAAGCACGCGCCATCATGGAACGTATGGCCAGCCTGGAGCAAAAACTGACAGGGGACGTGGTGGGCCTAAAAAAGAATATAGGTCGTGTGGTTGAGGTGGTAAACGTCGATATCACGCCCAGTCGCACACACGACCATCCATTTACCGAAGAAATAATGGCACCCCCTCTCCTTGATAAATATAGGTCGCCGTCAATCCCGTCATATGATGGGCGAGGGGATCCCGACGACCATCTGGAGATGTACACCGGGCACATGCTCTTACACGGTTACGCTGAGGAGATCATGTGCCGAGCCTTCCGAAACCATTTAACGGATTCTGCACGGAGGTGGTTCCGAATGCTGAGGCCAAACTCTATCTCGAGCTGGGATGAGTTGAAGGAAACATTTTCCCTCCAATTCATAGGGGTAAAAAAGTACGTCTCCCCAAAGCAGAATCTGACGACGATATATCAAAAGCTAAATGAGTCATTGAGGGAATGGCTCGCAAGGTATGGGGAGACCGTCGCTGCCACAATGGACATAACAGACAGAGAACCCTTGACGGGGGCTTTATCTAGCATGAAGAAAATAACCCCGTTCAAAAGAGAGCTTAACCGAAAATCTCTGACCAACTACAGAGAATTTTTGGTGCGAGTGCAGGGGTACATCAACGTCGAAGAGGCAGACACGAACGACCCCGAGCACCGGACCAACAAGAACAAAGGAACTGAACAGGGGTCGGCGCCTACGAAGCAGGATGGGAAGAAGCGTCGAGGCGGAGGAAACAGAGACAAGCAGCCCGCCGCAACGACGAGCGCTCCGGAAGCCAAAAAGCCGAGGCAAGAGGACACCCGAAGACCTCGGCTGTTCCAAAAGTATGATTCCTACCATGAGTTAACGGTAGCAGTTGAGGAGGTTTTCAACCAAGTCAGCCGCGGGAACTTGCTGCGCCGACCGGAAGCGATGAAGTCAGACCCCAGCCGAAGGAACCAGAAGAAATTCTGTAGGTTTCATGGCGATGTCGGCCACCACACCAACGATTGTGCCGACCTCAAAGACAAGATCAAGAGATTGATCCGCGAGGGAAGGTTACAGGAATTCAGGGCCGAACGAAGGCCCCGAAATGACGGCCATGGTGGGTAGAATGACAGTCGACGCCGAGAGGAGAACCAGCGCCCAGAGGACCGTGAACCCGTCGGCGTCATAAGGACTGTCCTCGGCGGGCCCTATATAGGAGGAGACTCGAGGAGGTCTCAAAAGGACTACGCCCACGAGGCCAGGGGGGTTTATCAGGAGCGATTCGGGAGCGTCTCCGCCGTAAAAACTCCAAGGTATAGCCACACTGATGTGGCTTTTAACGAGGATGACGCTTGTGGGGGTCATTTTCCCCACAACGATGCCTTGGTGGTGGAAGCCATGATAGGAAACCACACCGTGTGCAGAATCCTGGTGGACAATGGGAGCTCGGTGGACCTTCTATACTTCGATTGCTTGGAAAAAATGGGGATCCGGAAGGAACAATTGGAGAAAACCTCCAGGCCGCTGTATGGCTTCACAGGCGACTCCGTTATCCCTCAAGGGACCATCTGCCTACCCATAACCGCCGGTGAAAAACCTCGACAGACAACCACAATGGCCAATTTCGTGGTCATAAAAGGAAGCTCCCAGTACAACGCGGTAATTGGGAGGCCAACCCTCCAAGCGTTAAGAGTAATAACCTCCATTTACCACCAAAAGGTCAAGTTTCCCACCCCAAATGGCGTGGGGGAAATGAAGAGCAACCAATATGAAGCTAGGGTTGCGTACTTTGACGCCCTGTGCGGATATGACCAACCGGGGAGACAGGAGACAAGGATGGTTCACCAAGGCCTCGTCGAGGATATAGATCCCCGGATCCAGGAGGAAGTCACGTGGTCTCAACCTATGTCACTCCCTGAACGTCGACCCCTCATATCCACCCAAACGACAGAAGCGTCGGTCGATGAATCCCGAGAGGTATGAGGCGCTGAGAGAAGAAGTCGACAAGCTGATTAGTAATGGGTTCATCAAGGAGTCCCATTATCCTCGTTGGGTATCAAACTCCATTCTAGTGACCAAGCCCAACGAAAATTGGAGGACATGCATCGACTTCAGTGATCTCAATAAAGCCTGCCCAAAGGATGGCTTTCCACTCCCTCGCATAGACCAGATGGTCGACGCCACGGCGGGGCATGAGATGCTGAGCTTTATGGACGCTTACTCCAGATACAACCAAATCCCTATGCATCCAGCCGACGAGGAGCACACATCCTTCATAACCGACAGGGGTCTATACTGCTACAAAGTGATGCCTTTCGGCCTGAAAAATGCAGGGGCTACCTACCAGAGGCTTGTAAATAAAATGTTTGCCCAGCAACTCGGCAAAACAATGGAGGTTTATGTGGACGATATGCTAGTAAAAAGCACTCCGGCCAGCCGTCACGTCGACCATCTGGGGGAAATGTTTGGTGTACTAAGAAAATACCGCATGAAACTCAATCCCCAAAAGTGTGCCTTTGGAGTTGGGTCGGGAAAATTCCTCAGTTTTATGGTCAGCAACCGAGGGATTGAAGCTAATCCCGAGAAGATCAAGGCCCTACAAGATATGCGGTCCCCAACGAAGCCGAAGGAGGTGCAAAGATTAACAGGATGTGTCGCCGCCTTAAATAGGTTCATATCAAAAGCAACCGACAAATGCGTCCCCTTCTTTGACGCTTTGAAGGGAAGCAAGCGCTTTGAATGGACACCCCAATGTGAAGAGGCATTCTAGGAATTGAAGGAACATTTGGGCAAGCCCCCAATACTATTAAAACCGAATATCGACGAAGAGCTTAGCCTATACCTCTCCGTATCCTAACACGCCGTAAGTTCCGTGTTAGTGAGAGAAGAAGAGAGGGTGCAGCTGCCAATCTACTACGTGAGCAAAAGGCTTCTCGACGCCGAGTTAAGATATAGCGAGATGGAGCGCCTTGCCCTCGCCCTAATGGTAGCTTCAAGAAAGCTTCGGCACTATTTCCAGGCTCACACAATACGGGTTCTCACAAACCACCCGCTGAGGCAGGCTCTGTAAAAGTCCGAAACTTCAGGTCGACTCCTCAAATGGTCGGTAGAGTTAATCCAGTTCGACATAAAGTACGTGCCGAGAACTGCGATCAAGGGCCAAGCGCTCGCCGATTTCTTAGCTGAGTTCTCCCATAGGCCAACTCCCGCCGTACCTGGAGAAGTCGACGTTATAGAATGGAAACTCTACGTGGATGGGGCGTCGAGTGAAAACGGGTCAGGAGCCGGCATCCTGTTAATTAGCCCCGAAGGCCACAAAATTACCTCGGCGGTCCGATTTAAATTCAAAGCATGAAACAATGAGGCGGAATATGAAGCACTAATTGCCGGATTGCGGTTAGCCAGCCACCTAAAGGTTGAAAGACTCAGCGTCTTCAGCGATTCTCAATTGGTTGTCGCGCAGGTGAAGGAAGAGTACCAAGCACGCAGTGAGAAGATGAGAGCGTACTTAAGAAAGGTAAAGGAAGAACTCGTTAAGTTTAAAAATTACGAGATACTCCAGATACCACGAACCGAGAATGCAAGCGCCGACGCTCTGGCAAAGCTAGCATCTTCTAGAGAATCCGACACACTAGGGGTCGTCCCCAT